ACAGAAGTGGTTAAGTCTTTTGCACACTCTAACTTCACATTTTCCCTCCTACATGGCAGTGATGCTCTGTCTCAGTCCCCATCCTGAGATCTGATGGATTCACCTCAAGTCTGGTGCCACGGGGTCAGTGGTCCTGCATTTGTGTGACCTTTCTATGCCCTCTACTCACAGAAGGCTGTGGTCCATTAAGTCAGTCTTGATTTTTTCGAGACAGGGTTTCTCTGTAGCTTTGGAACCTGTCCTGAAACTAGTTCTTGTAGACTCACAGAGCTCTGCCTGCCTCTGCCTCCCGAGTGCTGGGGCATGTGCCACCACCGCCAGGCTCATTAAGTCCATCTTATTCCCTCCCACGCCCCCCACTCACCACTTTGGGGAATCCCTTGGCGTTCCATGTTACCTGCTGCTGGTCTGACTGGCAGTGAGACGTGACCCAGGTGTATTGGTTAGGGCTGCTATTGCTGTGACGAAACACCATGACCAAAGCAACTTGAGGGGAGAGTGTTTGCCTTAAACTTCCACTTGTGGTCCTGCACTGAAGGAAGCTATGGCAAGAACTCAAACAGAGCTGGAACCTGGAGGCAGGAGCTGATGCAGGGGCCATGGAGCAGTGCTGCTCCCTGGCTTGCTTCCCATGACTTGCTTAAATGTTTTCTTATAGAACCCAGAACCACTAGCACAGGGTGGCTTCACCCACATTTGCTTAGCCCCTTCCCACCCCATATCAATCACTGGTTTTAAAAAAAAAAAAAAAAAAACAGGCTTACCTGCAGCAGCCCCTCTTATGGAGGCGTGTTCTCATAAGGCTCCCGCTCTGAGGGCTCTAGCTTGTCAAGTTGTCATAAAACTAGCCAGGATACTAGGCAGCTGTTTCTGTGCTGGCACCTGGGCACTCAGCCAGGTCACCACTCCTTAAGGTCAGGAGTGGCAGTGCCCATCCATCAAGCTATAGCATCAGAATCCTTGGCTGAGCCCAGTAGACACTGAGACACCTGCAGGGCTTCTAGCTCTGCCACCCAGTCCTATCCATTCTCTAAACCCAAGGCTTGTGTCTGGTCAGTGATAGCCTGTTGCTTAAACACCAGAAGGAGGCAAGGGGCCATTCCCTGTATCTCCTGAAAACGTCTGTTCTTTGTGTTTTTAGGGATGGGGTCGGTGTCTGTCTTCTGACATATTACTACCCCCCTCCCTCTCTGCAGTTGATCTATTTAAAGGTGTGTCAGCACCAAGACCTGATGAGGAGCTGGCCCCTCCTCCCTGCTGATGGCAGCCGTGCCAATAATTCATTTTTTAGCTCATTAGCTAACAGAGGCTGTGAGCAGTGGTCCTCCAGGGCATTGGAATGAGGAGAGGTGATCTACTGCCAGCTCTGCTGCTCTTGAACTGGCCTTCCTTGGGGACAATGAAGCGCATGGCCAAGGGACCCGAGCATAACAATTGGAGTCGCTACGCCTTGGCACTGTGGTGGCGATGCTGACAGAATGGAACCAAAACTGTTATCAGAGTGTCCCCTCTCACTGTTGAGAGCTGTGGAAAAGGATGGCTAAGCCACCCTAGCTGACGATCGTATGCAGGGTGCAGGGGCTGGAAGTGCATGGTGAATAGGACTGTTGTCTGGGGAGGTCTCTCTTCCTGGCTTGCATGACCTTTCTGCTGCGCATGGACCCCAGCCACGTGAGTTTGCAGATCTTTCTCAAGGACCACATTTAACCTTATCTACTCCCAAAAGACCTTGTCTCCAAATGAAGCCACACACTCGAACTTGGCGTCAACCAGTTTGGCCCATGACAACAAAGCACCTTAGGTTTCTCAGACCCGTGCATACACACACCCCAAACTTAGCTTCTCAGACCCGTGCATACACACACCCCAAACTTAGCTTCTCAGACCTGTGCATACACACACCCCAAACTTAGCCCCAGCCACACTGACAACCATGGGATCTTTTGAATTAGCCAAGACCCTTTACCCTGGATGTCTGGGGCCTCCACACCTTCAAGGGACTCACCAAACACCTGGACAAGAGCTGCTCAGAATGATGAGTTTTGGGGCTCTTATAGTGACAGGCAGCCACAGATTAGAAACCCCCAACACACCACAGGCATCTTTGCTTGCCCATCACATGACACCACACTGGTCCATGCTATGTGCCTGACCATAACTGACCCTGAGTGATTAGAGGTAGGTTTTCTCCAGTTTGCTGCCATGAAAGGGCTACTGTGGCCAGCGTGGAAGCCACATGGGTGGTCTTAGGTCTGGACAGCCCTGACTTCACTAAGTGTCACCGGGCCCATTTTAGAGATGGCAAAACAAGTGTCTGAGGAGGGGGAGGTGAGAAGAAGAGCGAGTGCTGAGACACTGAGATCTCCAGGAAGAAGAGAACGCAGCCTCACAGCACAGCATCAGTGGGGTTCCTTTTCCCTCAGCCATTGGGGAAAGCTCACCAAGTCTCATGTTGGGGTGCACTTGTTAGGGTAGGCAGTGGTCACACACACACACACACACACACACACACACACAAAATAGATTCTGAGCAGCAGAGAGAACTTGAGAGTTGATGGGAACAACTGAATTCATACCCATAAGCCTCCATTGCCCTGGACCAGGCTCTATTTCTATACAAAAAGGATTTCAGCTTAAAAAGGTGAGATCTCATGCAGCCATGAAGCTCTAGTGAGCTCAAAGGCCAGAGGACCCAGCAGTCGGCATCGCAGGGTTCTATGTTTTAAAGGTGTATGAGAATTCAGTAAAGAGCCATTTCCATCCAATGCTAAAAGCTACACCGCGAGCGGGTCTAGGGCTCGTCCTTGGTGGAGGCAGGGATCTGTGCTCAGTCTTTGGCTGGGTATTTGAATATTAAAATGAAATTTTAATCATTGCAGTTAAGACCAGAGTTCTGATGTGAAGTTCCCCCGTTACCCCTGAATGCTCTGGCAATGACTTTTAAAACCAACTGGAGCAGAATAAGACAGTCTGATTTTAATGCCTACCCAAAAATGAGAGTTAGCAGATTGGAAATTGGAGGTCTGGACGTCTCCTACACCATTAGCCCTTCTCATTTAATTCACGTCTTGCTCTTTCTCCTTTCTGATTTATGAACTACATCAACAAACGTGTAACATATTATAAACAAGCTCTTAAAATAGAACCAGGACCACTGGGGTTTAGGTCTTGCATTTCCTGGATGTCCCCCACCTTTCTGCCTAAGTAAAGGGTGTGTGTAAGGGCTTTGCTGCAGTTCTGGGAGCCAGTTTATCTCGCTGAAGCCAAGTGTTTGTCCTGGAAATCTCTGAATGAAGAGTCAGGGGTCACTTGGGGGTCACTCACACGTACCAGGAAGTGAAGCAAAACTAATCCAGATTTACTCCTGGAAGAATCTGTTTGCCTAAGTATTTAAAAACAGATTAGGGCTAACCTGACACTAGGTCACCAGGCGCAATGTAAACACTGTGCAGAGGTGTAAACGAGGCCTTTCTTCTGGGCCTCGGAAGCAGAAATGTAATGAGTTTTCTTTCTGGAGGGTTGGGGGAAGGCCCTTGATTCCTTCATGCGGCTGCTAGCTGTGTGCTCTGATTATTGCAGGGAGAGACTCCGGGTTTCAGGAGTCATTGTGAGTCAGTGTCTTACTGAATCTGAGATAATTAGTCTCTGTGTGTGGGGTTTGCTTGCTCTCTTCATCATCCTCCTGAAAAAGCCGAGCTCGGTCCTCAGGCACACACCACAGGCTGCTGGGAAAATTCTAAAGGCTACTCATGAAATAGTAGATCCTCTTTAAACACACACACACACACTCTTTAAGCACACGCACATGCACACGCACATGCACACACACACATACACACACGCAGATGCGCACATACACTGCCCCTTTTCCTAGCAATGAGCTCAGTCAGGAGGACTGTGGAGTTCAATGTCTCATCCTTCCTCTTTGTTGTTTTGTTTTGGAGACGCCAGCAATGTTTAACCTTGCTCTTCCAGAGCATAAAGGCAGCTCACTGGAGCCTCTTACTGTGTACCCATGACTGGCCCGGAACTCACAGGCCCACCTGCCTCTGCCTCCCAAGTGCTGGGATGAAAGGCGTGCACTACCATGCCCAACAAGCCTGCCTTGATCGATATAAACATCACCTCCTAGGAGGTTTGCTTTCCTTCTTTTCTCCTCCACTCTGCCCCTTCTCCTCAGCTGTGCAGTGCTCCCCAAATGATAGACCCTGGGAGTGGGAGCTGGGGACCAGGCACCATGGTACCCATCACATTGTCATTGCTCTCCACACTGCAGAGCCTTCCAGTTTCACCTGCCCTCTGTCCCTAGCTTTGCTCCAGCCTTAGAGGTTGCCCACCTTTTCTCTCTGAGATTGGGCCCTGGAACACTTTTCTCCAGAAATCAGCATTCCGCCCCCCTCCCCTTAAGCCTTCCACAAGTCTCCAAAGAATTGACATATTCCTGTGTGAACCTTCAGTGTCCCCTTCTTCTGAAGAGTGGGAGACCCTTGGGGACTCACACGTGTCTTCGTCTGGGGGTGTGGGTGAGTCGAGAGCAGAGAACACCAGTCCCCTCAGATGACGCCTCTGCTGCCCCACCTCTGTCTCTTGCCAGCCTTAGAGCATAGGGACCGCTCACCTGTCTTTTAGGTCAGTATAAGCAAGTCTTGCTGAGGGAGGGGAAGTCCTCTTCCTTCCTTGCTCAAAGAAAGCCCAAGCCTTTGAGCTATGAAGCCTCTGTTTGCACTGATGCAGGCCCCCAGGCCATGAGCAGTGGGTAGGCTGTTCTTTCATCAGAGGTTCCGACTCTGGAACCCCTGGAACCTTAGGGAATGCTGCAGGCAGCAAGGAAACCACTTCTAGACACCACGAATAGAGGTTTCCCCAAGGGGGTTTTATCCCAAAAGCAGACTTTCCTGTTCCCTTCGGGGGCCTCCTAACTTCCCAGGCTGCCAGAGCAGGGGTTCCAGCCTCTCTGTTCCAAAGCCCATTCCTGAGTGTGCCTATCTTCTCACTCGTAGGGAAGAAAAGGAACGATGGATCCGGGCCAAGTATGAACAGAAACTCTTCCTGGCCCCACTGCCATGTACAGAGTTCTCCTTGGGCCAGCAACTGCTGCGTGCCACCGCAGAGGAAGACCTGCGGACTGTCATCCTGCTCCTGGCACACGGGTCCCGGGATGAGGTGAATGAGACCTGCGGGGAAGGCTATGGACGCACAGCATTGCACCTGGCCTGCCGCAAGGGCAGCGTGGTCCTGGCTCAGCTGCTAATCTGGGTAGGTGGAGCCACTGTGGGGTCAGAATGCATTGTGCTACTGGCATCTCCTTCCTGTACAAGGCTGCCGTGCCTGAGAGCTGACCCTCATAGGATTGGAGCCTTACATCTGGGCTTACCTGCAGGAGGGCATGGAACAGCAGGGGAAGCTGGGTGCAGGGCGGAAAGGAAACTGGCGCATTTGCTCAGTGCTCATTTCTGAAGTGTCTTTCTGGTGGCCCCTCGGGTCAGACATTCTGCAGGGAGAGATACTGGGCTTGTTTCTCAATGTCATTGTCTTGCAGGCAAGGGCAGGGGCATGAATAACTTGAATGGCTTCTAGGTGGCCCCTTGCCAAACCTTGGAATCTTTACTCTCTGTTCTGAGAGAGTGAAGGTACTGGCCCTAGGCACCGAGGTCTGATATGTGGGAGCTGTCACCCAGCCTCTCTCGCACTGCTTTAATGACTTTCTTCTCAGGAAAAACAAAATTTTATTTCACTTAAATATGAATTTGAACATTTTAAGAAACTGAAATTGTAACAAGGTTGTAGAGAGAGGCCCTGCCTGTCCTGCCTGTGTGTGCTGAGCTGGGATGCCCGAGTGCCATGTCCCCAGGCAGCAGCTTCCTAAACACCTCTTAGGAACATCTGCCACTCAGACCCTGGGGCCTCTCCTCTGTGTGTGTGTGTGTGTGGGTGTGTGTGTGTGTGTGTGTGTGAGAGAGAGAGAGAGAGAGAGAGAGAGAGAGAGAGAGAGAGGGGAAGGAGGAGGAGGAGGGAGGAAGAGAAGGAAGAAGGAGGGCGGAGGGCGGAGGGAGAACGTGTATGATGCCAGGAGAGCACCTCAAGTGCTCTTCACGCGTTATCCACTTTCAGGTTTCTTGTTGCTGTTCATTGTTGAGACAAGTTTGTTTGAATCTCCAACTCAGAGCACGACTAAGGCTGCTTAAGACCTGGTAGCCACGTTTGCCATGAGTACCTCTCACACCCTCCTCAAACCCAGGAGTGCTTTGCTCAGATTAAATCTGGCTTTATTAATTAGGTTTGATTGGTTTGTTACATCGGCGGCAATGGATTCCCATTAACCAGGGATTCAAAAATTATCAAGGTTATCTGTCTCATTGCCTTAACCTGGCCAAGTAGACAGGCTGGCCAGCATGCCCCAGGGGCCACTGCTCCACCTCCCCAGGGACCTGGATTACAAGCTTGCACCACCACACTCAGATTTTTGTATTCAATATAGTTTAAGGGATGGTGCTCAAGCCCTCTAAATTGTGAGATTAGCTATTTTGCTGACTGATATCTTACCCCAGTTTCTTCCTGTTTTTAATCCACACTTTGGAGTACAGTGGAGAATGAGAAGATGCAGGTTAAGTCAGGATAATTGGTATCCGTCCTCACCCTCGCTGCCATGAAATGACGGCTGTGTTTGGTGTGCTTGCACTGCGGCAGCAACCCTGCAGAGCACAGATACTGTGCTGTCGCAGCCCTGGAAGCTACAGACAGACTTCAGAACACCCAAAGGGCTCCTTTACCACAAGGCTTTGCTCCTCAGCTAGCAGCTAGGACCTTGCTGTGGCCCCATGTGGTTGGTCTCTTGTGTAAGCATGCATCCTGGTGTCTTGTTCCTTTCTCAGCTCAGCAGATGGAGCCCCAGTCTAAAGTACTGGAGGCTCTTTAAGACTTAAGCTTGTAATTTGGGGGGCATAGCCTACCCACACATCTCCTTCTCACGTTGTCCAGAAGCTCTTGATTGCAGTGTTACATGTTCCTTGTGTGTCAGAAACCCCGCCATACACTGATTTACTTGAACATATGTGAACCTGTCCTTATCAATGAGCAAAAAAACTTAAAAGTTCGTGTGTGTGTGTGTGTGTGCTATGTTTATGAGTTGTTGCTTTTTAACTTTTTAAAGATTTATTTATTTATTTTAATTCACATGTATATACTTAAGTATCTGCCAGTGCCCGGAGGGCCAGAAATGGGTATCAAATTCCCTGGAGCTGCAGTTACAGATGGAAGTGAGCCATGCAGTCTGGGTGCTAGGATCCAAATTCACACCCTCCGGAATAGCAGTAGATGTACTTAACTGCTCAACCATCCCTTCAGCAGTGACTATTTTATTTTTAGGTGTGTCCAGGCACCTATAGGGGCCAAAAATGGGTACCAAAAATGAGTTACAGACAGTGTGAACCACCCAACCCAGCTACCAGGAATTCAGCTCGGGTCCCCTACGGTGACTACGCCATCTCTGCAGCCCATTATTTTATTTTTGCAGACTGGGGACAGAACCCACAGCTCTGTGAACTCTAGGCAAGACTGCAGCACTGAGCTCCGCTCTTAAGTCTCCATGCAGTTTCGTAGACTACATGGCCGAGTGAACTGGCTAGGCTAATCTACAGGGCTTCCCTGGGCTATTGAGAAAGATAAACCTCTCCTCACTGGCTCTGCCAGTGACAGCTTTGGAACAAAATGTGCTCTAGCCAAGGATGGAGTAACTGAATTAGGCTCGTGTGTTTAGGTGTTACATAGCTATTAGGAGTCACGCTTTGGAGTAAGTTTTGATAGTGTAGGAAGATGTTCAAAGTCCAGTTCAGTGAGAGAAAAAAGCACAAATGATTAGAAAGGACTGAGAGTATAGCTTAATGGTATATTCTCAGTTAGCATGTGCCAAGCCCTAGACCCCACCTCCAGCACTAAAGAATGGGAAGCGCACATAAAGAAATAACAAACTATTGGCAGGAATTTTCCTCTCTTGTGCTCACATGTGTCTCTTATGTGTTTTCTGTGATTAAACTGAGATGCCTCTGAGATCTTTTTAAAAATATTTATCTTTAGTGTGTGCGTGTGCATGCATGCGTGCACACACACATACATACACGTGGCACAGCAGTCCTGCGGAGATCAGAGGGTAGCTTGCAGAAGTTGATTCTCTCTCTCAACACTGTAAGTTCTGTAGATCAAACTCAGATCTCTGTCTTGACAAGGACTTTGACCCCCTGAGCCATTCTTCTGCCCTTGCCCATTTACATACAACTGGAAAGGTAAAACGAAGAGCAAGGTTAAAGCCCTCTTTGCCCTGCTTGGGTGATATGAATAGGGGTGGGGTGCTTCCCCTAACAGGGCAGATACAGATCCTGGTCTAAACAACATGTGGACATTTGGTTTTCAGTTCCTCTCAGTCCCAGATGTCTCCACCGCAGCTCAATCCACGTGTCGGAGCTGACGGTGTGACCTACCCCTGCCTGCCCTCAGATCCCCACGGACACTAACTCGTTCTCTGTTGCCTCTACAGTACGGGGTGGACGTCATGGCTCGAGACGCCCACGGGAACACAGCACTGGCCTATGCCCGTCAGGCCTCCAGCCAGGAGTGCATTGACGTGCTGCTCCAGTATGGCTGCCCCGATGAGCGCTTTGTGCTCATGGCTACCCCCAACCTGTCCAGGAAGAGCAACAGCAGGAACAGCAGCAGCGGGAGGGCGCCCAGCATCATCTGAGCTCAGCCAACACTGCGCCTGGGATCCCATGCCCGCCTGCTCCGGGAGTCACAGCATGTGAGTTCCTCAGTCCCTCCCTCTTCCTGGTGGTTACTTCCACCCACCTGCCACTCACACACCCCACATGAAGTCTCCAAACCTGGACATCCTCAAGGGGAGAAGAGGAGGATGGAGGCCACAGAACCGAACCCTTTTCCCACACTCCGGAAGCAATGCAGGAAGGACTGACAACCTCCCGACTTTGAGGATAGCACACGACGATGGACCCCTGTTCCACTGACCTGGAACCTGGGGGAGGGGTAGCAAGGAGAAGGGGCAGCTTCCCCTAACTGGCAGTTAAGCACATCAGTACATTTCACCTCGGCCAAAAGGAGGCTTGGATTTCACATCTTCTCTGGGGAGCTTGACGGCATAAATCAGAAGCCAGCACAGTTTGTCAGGTCTGAAGCCCCTATGATGGTAGGTGTCAAATCAGTTGTAGCTAATCTGTCCAGGGAGAATACTGGCTTCATTACACTTGTATAGTCGAGTTCCTCCAGCATTACCGCTGTTTAATAGGACGTGATTAGTCATCACCGGGAAGAAGGCGTATTAGCCGAGGAGGTAGTTACACGGCACGCTCCGGTGATTGCCACGATGTGATTGCTGTGCGCTTAGAAGCATCATATTATCCCAGACATGTCTCTCCAGCCCTTGGAGCCCTCCTTTCTAAATTCACTGTCATAATTTAGTATCTGTTTAATTTTTCAGTCCAAAGAGAGGAAATCAGTTGCTGGGTATTATTTGACTGCGATCTCCTTCCTTGGTGCAAAAACAAAATGGAAAATAAATAAATAAATAAGAATAGCTGGGAAATTCAAAAAGAAATCATGAATCCAGCTGGAAATAGCTTTTCGAGTATGCTCCAAAACTAAGTAAATACATATAATGCTATGGTTTTTTTTTTTTTTCTAAGAGAGATTTTCTGTCCTTTGGCCACAGTGGAAGTATCTGGCCTCAGTCACTCCCAATCCACAAGGTCTGAGTTACCCAGGTTTCTGTCGCAGAGAAGATGTGTGAAAATCTATTTGAATAAAAGAAGTTGATAAATATGCATTGATTTTTGTGCAGACAAATGGCAGCTCTGTTAATTTCTAAGTGGAGCTGGATGGGCACCAGTATTGTGCAACTAGCTGAGATCGGAGGGAGACAGAGCAGTGCAATAGGCAGTGCTCCCAGCAGCAAGCACTTCCGTGAGTGTGGCGCGCAGCTCTTGAAAAGGCGCTTATCAGAACAAGATGGTGGGACGATTCGCTTATTAAAGCCAGGAAGCAAAGGGGGACGAGTGGGAAGGAGCCTGTGAGTCCACATCCCGAAGGCAGGATGGAGAGCCGAGGCCACTCTTCCCAACCAAAAGCGAGGGGCTGTGGCAAGAAGGGGTGCTTGTCGGCACCCTGTGAGCAGCTGCCCACCATTCTGGCACAGCTGGCTCCTAAGAGCCTGCAGACTCTGTGTGCTCCGTCCTGTCTGTTTCTAACGTGTGACTGATTTGCCTTCGTGGGCCACAGTGTGCATCAGACACCAGCCACCTTGGCACGGTGGTCAAGAACACCAAACTGTGACACTATTTAGTTTAAAAAAAAAAAAAAAAAAAGAGGGGCAGCCTTGCCAGAGAGCCCTCGTGGCAGTGTGGCGGGAAGAAGGCCATCACACTGGAAGACTGGGCAAAGCCACCCCCTGGCATCCTGTGGAGAAGCTCCTTGCTCTCATATATTGAACTTTATATTTTGTAAGAGTTTTTCCTCTTCTTTCACTTTTTAAAAAAAAAAATTTAAAGTAGATGGGAACAAAAGTAAAGCTTTAGACAGCATTTCCATGTGGGTGAGTGTCTCGTGGAGATCTCCAGTCTCAGCGCGGCTGGGACTGATCAGGATCCAAAAATGTCACAGGTGCAAAAGCCACAGGCCTGAGACTCCTGAGCTCAGTTCCACGAGCCCTGTGTTTGGTTTTTCATCCTGCTCCTCATCACTGTGTCGTTTCTTTCAGTGTGAATAGAGAAAGCAAGCTGTCATTGCCTATTTTTGAAGAACGCATTAGCACCCAGCCCTGCACTCCGCATTCGCCTCCACGTAGCCTTTATCATAGACTTCTATAGAGAACACAGATAGAGGATAAATGAGAGTCTTAAATTATTTCATTGTAGTTAATTCCCACTATAGGAGTGCTTTTATCAAAGGGGAGCCTGCTTCAGAGGGGAAATGGAGTCCTTCCTGAGGCTTCTCTTCGGGGTGTATATGAGTGTGTACATATTATTATGTTTATAATATGATATTTTCCCGATTGATTCCTTGTTTCACGTCACCCTCCACTGTCGGAATGCTCAGTTGCTCGCTCTGGCTGCCCCTCCCCCTCCCTCCCTCCCTCGGTCACTCTGACATCATCAGGTCTTCCTCAGAACACACAGCCCCTCCCCTGCCAGTTTTAGCTGTGCTGAACTGTCCAAGGGGCAGCCCCCTTTTCCCAAGCCTGAGTTCTGACCACAGGTAGAACGGTGGTGGTGGGGCCTCTAGGGTTCCCTGCAGATGGAGGAGAGAAGCAGCCTGACCTGTGCCTGTAGTTCACCTTCAGACCCAGGGCCTCCCCTCAGTGAGAACCTTCTTTTTCCCATTTCCAAGCCGACCACCAAGGCTGCGTGAAACCAGGAGCAGGGTCGTGGGGAAGGGAGCTGGGGTTTCTGGAAAGCTCCCCCACACTAGGCACTTGATTGAATGCAAATCACTTTTTTAAGGAGCATGTCAGAATAAGGTAGTGGGACAGTGGCCCAGAGAAGCAGGGGAAGGGAAGGAGCAAGTGAGTTCTCATTTTGGAACACAGCGTCAGAGCTGAGCCTCCTGTCCACCAGGAGCCAGGGCCTCCGAAGTAGCAGATGTGAGGAGCCCACGGCAAGTCCCTGCAACCTTTGTGTTCAGGGTGAATTTCCTCTTGTTGAGAAGTAGCCAGCTGGGGCCAGCAGCAGACTGGCCTGTGAGTTGTCCATCAACTGCCCCGGGGGCAGTCTAGCCTGTGGCTACCCCTGCTGAACCCCTACTGCCCTTCCCCAGGCCTGTGCACGGTGTCAGGGCTGGGAAGTGAAGCCCTCCTTATACTCCCCACTACTGAGAAAACCCCTCCAAATTTTTTTTTGTCTTGTTTTCCGGAGAAAAGCCAAGCGCTACTTTCCTACGGCCCCCGACTGTCACTCAAACCGAAGGTGAGGCTCTCTCCTCCAGCCTTGTACCTCTGCTCTGGCTCCTCCACTCTCCTCCCTGCAGGTCCCGTGAGGCTGCTGGGATATACACACCATCAGTGCCCCGTTCCCGTTAACTTTGAGGATCTTAGCACCTCAGGCCTTGGGCTTCACTGCCCTACAATCCCCAGAGGAGCTTGCTCAGAGTGCTTTGTGGCATCTCCTTCTTGGTCAAGACCGCGGTTGGTGGGTTGTGACTGAACCTGGTGAACCAGGGACCTGCCGGCCCTAAGCCTGTGCTGTACTCTTAGTTGCCGAGGTTGCCACCATCCTGCCCTGAACTCAAGCTGTTTTATGGCTGAGATGGGCGCTCTCTACCTCTCCTGGGGACACGGCCCACAGCGGCGCGGCTAGGAGGCGTGTGATCAGGGCCTCCGAGCTACCAGCAGGGCAGAGGGTTTCAGAAGCAAGCCCAGGACTTTTGGTGGGCCTCAGCTTGTCTGTCTCCACCGGTCACACTCTATAAAGTCCTTGAGGCTTTACTAGACCTCTGCCAGGGTTGTATTTTGACTTTGAAACAAACAAATTGAAAGGCAGTCAGGAAGGAATTTGAGCTTCTACAGAGTTTCTCCCCCACTGCTCCTGTTGTGAAGGCACAGCTGGAGGTGATTCCTCTCTTGTCAGTCTCTAGAAAGCTGTGGAGGCCATGGGTGTCTCACCAGTGTGCAGCCTCCTCCACTGTGTGTGTCCCATCTGCCAGGCCTGGCTCCCACACAGCGGGACCCAACTCTCTGCGCCTGCCCTGTTTGGGGGTCTTAAAAGCCACACTGAGGTAGATGGGTTTTTAGCTAAAATTTAACATTTCTCCTTGAGAGGTGAGAGAGGGAGGGGGAGAGGCCCAGCCACTCTCTGCTGGTACCACATCCAGGCAGCCACTAGTCCTCAGGCTTAGTCCCACCCCAGAGCTAAGAAGCAGCCACCTCAGCTCAGAGAAGCCAGCCCCAGAAGTCAGGGCTCATCTCTTCATGGGGAAAGAAACCGCTGACCATCTGGGGCCTTGGTGTTTCCAGATGCAAAGTCTTGCTGCTCAGGAGCTCCTGCCCATGCTTTTGCAAATGCTCAGATTTCTGTTTAGTCTCTGTGCCCGCTGCTCCTTAAACAGCGGTTTGCACCTGGGTCCGAGCTGAAGAGAGAGCATTTCACCAATTCACCGTCGATGACTCTAGACCACCCACAAAGCTTTGCGTCCTTCCCTTTCAGCAGGCCCGGGTCAGGCGTGTTAACATGCCATCAGCCCGGTGACTCCTTGCCCAAGGCAGTGCGCAGTGAGGGTCCATGGAATAGCCGGCCTCCTGTCCCTCATCTCAAGAGGCCAATTTTCCTATAGAAGAGTAGTATTTAGTTTGGGGTTTGCTCCTGTCTGGTCAAAGCGTTCTTCACTGAGGCCTCTCCCGTAGTGAGCCTCAGGTGAACTTGGGCACCCAGCACTGGCAGCCATGCTAGGGTCCAAGCTAGTGGCCTTGGTGAGCAGGAGAGAAGTCAGCTCAGGGCTCGTCTTTGTTCTGCTGGGCACATGGCATCTGCAGGGGACCCCCTGGGGGTCATGAATCAAGCCATATGATGGACTCTCCCACCATAAGGGAGAACTGATCTGGAATTCTGTGTTCAGGGAATCACATAGCCTTCATCTTGTTTCGGGTGAAATGAAGGAACCAAGAGGTGTAAATGGGTGGGGGGTGGGACTAGGCCCAGAGGAGAGCCCCGTGACACACTGCTGCTAGGAACAACCCTAAGATCACTTTGTACCCCAGTGTCCAGGTGCAGGACTGTATCCACACTAGCCCACGCTAACGTCTGGATGTTAGAGAGGGCTCTCAACTGCTTGCAAAAAGACAAACTTAGCCAACTGCTGGTGGGTCTCGTGGACTCACTGAGGGCATTGAGTAGAAAGACCCATGTGGCCCAAAACAATTGTCAACAGCCCTCTTATCCACAGCTGAGGGCTCACAAAATGCCTGACCCACGTGGCTCATTGGGATGGGCAGAGAAGGGACCGAGGACGCTGTGCAGTGCAAATGTGGCTTCTGGTTCTTTCTTTCATGTGCACATTGTTCACCTACCAGGTCCTGCAGTTTTCTTACCAGGGCGGTGCGGAGGATACCCAGGGCAGTTGAGTGGAGACCAGGCTGTTGTGTGATGGACAGGCAAAAGATACCTTTGAAACGTCCCTGTGACCAGACGGGAAAGACAGCTGCACCTCCCTGTTGAAAATAACCCTTCTCTTATATGTAAAAACATCCTTTTCCCTCCCCACACTGTGGGACCTTTTGTGTTTGATTTTGAGGGGGCGGTGGTAGTGTTCTTCCAAACCCTGTCAGTTCTCAAGATGAGAACTGGTCCTCCAGCCCTGAGCCTGGGGAACTGAGCTCCAGAAAGGCACAGAAGGTGGCTGGCCTCTTCCAACGGCAGAGGACAGAGCTCCCGGCATCCTCTCTTGCCCTCTTCCCATCCTTTCCCCTAGTCCATCCTGAGTCCTCATCTTGCCACAGCTTCTTTGCAAAGAGAAAACCCAGGCAAGGCAGGGCGCCCCGGCACATATCTGGGTGGGGGCAAAGAAGGCTACACAGAAGCACAGTGGGGGGGCTTCTCCAGAGGTGGGTGTCTGCCCGGGGCATTTTGATATTACCTCATTCCATAACTTTATGTTTCCCAGTGACTGATGCTTTATTTATGCTTGTTTGTCCTGTAATTAAACCATCCTCAGACATTTCGCTTTGCTTGTTCGGGTTAAATATGCTGGTTTGTATTTTCCTGCCCTGGGATTTTTGTGTCAGGTGTACAGTATTCTGAGGGGAAAAGGAAAAGGAAAAGCGTGTAAAGTAACAGAGAGAGGTGGCTATAGTGTAGAGACCTCTTTCTAATAAAGAAATGAAAATATGTATCTACGGCTTCTGTTGTGTGTCTTCTTGGTAGCAATATGTCACAGTTGGTTTTTCCCACTCCCAGGAAGGTAAATCAGACGAGGAGCTTCAACTGCTCTGGGGATGCTTGTCCTGGAAACAGGCCACCATGTGTGAGGGAACCAACCCCTCAGCCTGCAGCCAGAGACTCAGGAAGCTGGACAGATGTCTCCTCCATGTCTCCAATCACAGGGGTGGGAAGCCTGATGCTTTGTGTCTCACTATTGCCCTGCCCACCTTCCCCACGTGACTGACAGGGAAGCCGTGGGCAGCTAGAAAATGGATCTCGCTCAGACATGCACTATCAGTGTGCCAACTGTCAAAAGTATCATTACAGCTTTCTCACACAAAGTGCATTATACAATCACTCCCATATTACAAAAGGAGGTAACACCCACCCCGGACACACCCACGGCATACACACCCACCCAACACACCCACAGCGTACACACCTACTCTGGACACACCCACCCCAGACACACCCAAAACCCTCAGCAGTGGACAGGTGCTTCTGTGAGAATCCTGCCTTTGGACCCTTTCCCATGGCACAATTTAATGGCCTGCAGCGCACAGGGTGCCAGTGGAGACTCCACACCTAGGGCAGCTTGTCACTCAATACAAGTGGCCACACACCCAGGCAGCACGTCCTCTGGAAGATAAAGACTTTTAGGAGGTGCTTTCCTCCATGAGAGATTTACAAGCAGCATGGATAAACAGCCTGGACAGTTCGGGTTGCTCTGCGTCTGGTCACCCAAACATTTGGTACTGTGACCCCCATTGTCTAGAATGCTGTTTTTCAGAATGGACTCCAGATGGAAGGATGACCGGGGCGGGGTCACAATGGAAATCCCTTGTGGCTCTGATGACACTGGTCACTCAGGCCCACACAGAGGGCCGGAGTGTGCGGTTGGTCGTCTGTTGAGAGTGAGGGAAGCCGCAGCCCGTGGTCTCCACCGTGCCGTTTTTGTTCAGACAACATGCTGTCAGAACAGAACAGTTCCAGAGAAGCCATGAGAGCAGACACCAGCTCTCCTCCCACCTGTCTGTCCCCACTGGCTTTGTCCCCACCATCTCCAGAGTTGTAGGGCCACCTCAGAGGGGTCTCCTTCCCAGGAGGACCCAGCTTCTTCAGGACCCCCAGAAGAGGGCTCTGAACCCCCTTGCCAGGACAGTACCCTAGGAAGCACTCTTGGGTCAGAAACAAAACTTTGTGTTTAGATCCTGTTTCTCGTTTTGTTCTAGGGATCAGATCCTGAGCCTCACATATGCTGGGCAAGCACTCGACTACTGAGTCACAGCCCAGTCTGTCTGCTCAGACCCGTGTTCCGTAGGGTGTGTGCAGATACTGAAGGGTCCTGCTCTCCATTCATCTAGTGCACAGAGACCTGTCCCAGGCTAGCTGAGAGCTACAGAGCGATCGCCCCCTCTCTTACAGCAGGAGCCCGCCTTACAGAGGCAGGCCACCACCTCCATTGTCTTACATGGGTTCCTGGTATCCGGCTTACATAGTGAATGCTTTTACCCACTGAGCCATCACCCTGGCCCACCAGCCACCCCCCATCCAAGGTTTTCAGTGTGGTCACTTGGTGCCGGCCAGGGTGACCGGCCCTTGTGCTAACAGCTGTACAAATAGAGACTATGGAGAGAATAAGAGCGCCCCCGGCTCTTCCCTCAACCGTAGATCCAGGCGACACGTTGCTGTCATTGTGGATCCAGATGTAGCATGCAAAAGAGTAAGCGAATCTACCACGTGGGAATCCTAGGAGAGAAGACCTCTGACATCAGCACGTGAGATGCCTATCCCTGCGCTCTATACAACAAAACTGGAAATAAATAAATAAATACATACATACATACATACATACATACCTCTCAGGCCAACAGGTAAAGGGGGCAATGATGATGATGCTGTAGGCTGGAGCCTGGGAGCCTGGAGTGTAGATGTAGAGTACTTGCCTAGTGTGAACAGGAGACCCTGGATTCAGTCCCAGTGCCGCCGCCACCACCACCACCACACACACACACACACACAGAGAGAGAGAGAGAGAGAGAGAGAGAGAGAGAGAGAGAGAGAGAGATTACTAGATTAGAGAGCTTGGGGCTGAAGATGTCACCTAGTTGGGAGAATGCTTCCTTAGCATGCATGAGGCCCTGGGTTTGATATAAGTGTTGAGTTCCTTTCATTCCAAGTACTACAGAGTTGGAGGAAAGATGGAAGTTCAAGGTCATCTTAAGCCACAGATCAAGCTTGAAGCCAACCCGAGCTACATGAGGGAGAGCCTGTCTCCCATATGCGTTTGTCACCCGAGGGAACGCTCTAAGCAAAAATGAGGGTGCAGGGTATGTTTAAGACTGCCCTCCATAAACCATCATTTAATGTATTAGGGATTCAGAATGCTAACGGAGCTCTGAGCGGTCCGAGTTCTAAGCTCCTTCCTTTATCCTTCTCCCCATAGGTACTGAAAGTATTTGTTAGGGTATAGGCCAAAGCCCTGCGTTCTCCGCGGCAATGAGGAAAACAGGTTGAACTATTAATAATATATTATTCACTTATGCTGAGGTTGGTGAACCAATTGGCTAATTGATTAATAAACTCCTTTGTTACGGAAACAAATTGATTAGGAATTAGGAGGCATTAAGGTGAGGGGCAAAGCTTACCGGAGAGCCCCGAGGGCTGCGGCTCCATCTGGCCTCCACAGCAGCCTCAGTGTGTGGGCGGAACCCTCCAGGCCCCACGGGTCTGCCCTTGACCTCCTTAATCCCTGGACCTGGATCCAAGTGCACGGACTGGATTCCCTACTCCCAGCTCCTGGTCTCCCACAGGCCCCAGGCTGGCTCTGAATCCTCTGCCCTGGCCCACCCTTGTCCTTCACAGCCTCCTCTCCCTAGTCAGTACCCCTTGTCCTGAGCACCTGATCTGGTTTCTCTTCATTGGAACTCCTCCACGGCCCCCTGTTATTCTGAGGGTTTTGTCCAAGTCTTAACACTGCAAGCTCCACCTGCCTGCTTCCTGCTGGGCATGCTGGGCTGTCACTGTGACGTGCCCTCACACACCCTCTCTCTGCAGCTCAGGACCCTTTGTCCACATTTCCCTTACCCTGGAAGACCCAGCTGTTGCTGGCCCGTCCTTTACCTTTAGGGGGTCACAGATAAAATGACTCTTCCTCAAAGATCACATTTAGTGGCCTGACCTCCCCGGAATTCTAGAGCTGCCACTGCAGACCCTCACAAAGTCTCAAGTCTTCTGTGGCATTCCCTGTCAGCCCCAGGAAGCCAGTCTGTCAGGGGCATCCTGAGAGCCAGGGTCCAGCCTGTGTTTCCAAGTAAATGGGAGTAGGGACGAGACCAGACATGGCCTCTGCCTCCTTTGCCACTTGTGTGTGGTGACTGTCCAATTCCAGAAACACCTCCATGGCGGTCATTTCCGGAAACAGACCTTCAGTGCGGCTGTGGCGGGGCTGGAGGTGGCCCTTCAAGATGATGGCAAGAGCCTTCTGCCCTACATCCAGGAATGTCCTGCCCCCATTCTCACTACCCTCCTACCCGTGACCTTCAGCACTTCAGCCCAGCTTCAACCAGAAGAAGCCCCCAGCACCAAGACACCATTGTTGATATACAAGACTCTCGGGTCTCACCTACCCATCCATGTGGGTGTCTGGCCCCCACAGGGTCCCAGTCGTTCCCTCCCCTGCTCTGTGGCCTCCCAGATCTCGCTGCACAGCTGCTCCTAGGCAAAAGCTTTACCCTCTGATCCAACAAGAGTGGAAAGAGTTACACTCAGCCCTGTCTCCAGCACGTTCCAAGCAGCCGCTAAGCCACAATTTATCACCACTAAAGTCCAGTAAGGCGCCTAATTGGCCCATAAATGTGGTCCAGTAACCGCACCTGACACCCAAAGACACTGCAGGCAATTAGCACTTATTTATTTGCATATGGTATTGACCGATCTTGGCAACTAGCTTGCAAGATCTGTTTATTTTAAACACTGGAGTGAGAAAGAAAACCTTATTTAACTGCACTAGAAAGGAACTTCCATCACACACACACAAGCGTGCACACTGGCAGGCACAATGAGACTGCCCAAGGAAGCCAGTGTCTTGATTTGTGAGCAGGGCCCTCCCATATCTTGCCTTTCAACTTCATGACTGCCCAGGCCCTGGCAATGGCCTGTCTGTTCTCAGGCTGCTGAAGTAGCCGGAAAGACAGAGTAAACCAGATGGCAGCCCGTGTGTGATGTGTGCTGGGAAAATACAACGCCTTAACAAGCTGCTTCTCAGCCCATAACTCCTTGTCCCAGCTGCAGAGCATTCCAGAAAGCCAGGCCATCAGCTTCTCTTCTCACCTGAGTGACTGACTTGGAGGCTTTTTCTCTGCCAGTGCTTGAGATAAAGCTGAGGGCTTTGCACATGCCAAAGTATTCTCTACCACTTGAGTCACACCTCTGGCCTTTGGAATAGAAATTATATTATTTTCTTTGGAATAGAAAATTACATTATTTCCCTTTATCAACAAAACACTGTGCTTATTACTAAATGCAAGCTTCCCTTCAAATTTCTATTTTGAGAATATTTTAACTTCTATTTACATTCTATATATGCATCCTGCATGTAAGTATGGGTGTGGGGGTGTATCCCACTATATATGTACCAGAATTCAAACTCAGTTTGTTGGTTTTGGAGACAAGAACCCTTCACCTTCTTTTCTGCCTCAGAGGGCCCTTGAAAATGTTTAAGCCTATAGAGGAGCTGGACGATAGAATATCTATCCAAGAAACACCCAAAGGTGCCTGTGGTCGTTTGATAGTAAGTGGCCCCATCAGCTCACAGGGAGTGGCACTATTAGATGTGACTTCATTGGAAAAGGTGTGCCCTTGTTGGAGGAAGTGTGCCACTGTGGGGGCGGGCTTTGAGGTCTTTGATGCTCAAGCTACTCCCAGTGTCACAGTCCACTTCCTGTTGCCTACCAATCAAGATGTAGCCAG